CAAATTCTGACCCCAAAAAACCCCAAATTTCGACCCAAAAATCCCAAATAAAAACCCCAAAAAATCCCAAATTCTGACCCTAAAATTCCCAAATTTCGACCCAAAAATCCCAAATAAAAACCCCCAAAAATCTCAAATAAAAACCCAAAAAAATCCCAAATTCTGACCCCAAAAAACCCCAAATTTCGACCCAAAAATCCCAAATAAAAACCCAAAAAATCCCAAATAAAAACCCCAAAAAAATCCCAAATTTCGACCCAAAAATCCCAAATAAAAACCCCAAAAAATCCCAAATTTCAACCCAAAAAATCCCAAATAAAAACCCAAAAAAATCCCAAATAAAAACCCCCAAAAATTCCAAATTTCGACCCAAAAATCCCAAATAAAAACCCCAAAAAATCCCAAATTCAGACCCTAAAATTCCCAAATTTCGACCCAAAAATCCCAAATAAAAACCCCCAAAAATCTCAAATAAAAATAAAAAAAAATCCCAAACTCAGACCCCAAAAATCCCAAATAAAAACCCCAAAAAATCCCAAATAAAAACCCCCAAAAATCCCAAATTCTGACCCCAAAAAATCCCAAATTTCGACCCAAAAAACCCAAATAAAAACCCCCAAAAATCTCAAATAAAAACCCAAAAAAATCCCAAATTCTGACCCCAAAAAACCCCAAATTTCGACCCAAAAATCCCAAATAAAAACCCAAAAAATCCCAAATTCAGACCCCAAAAAATCCCAAATTTCGACCCAAAAATCCCAAATAAAAACCCCAAAAAAATCCCAAATTTTGACCCAAAAATCCCAAATAAAAACCCCCAAAAATTCCAAATTTCGACCCAAAAATCCCAAATAAAAACGAGAAAAAATTCCAAATTCAGACCCAAAAATCCCAAATTTCGACCCAAAAATCCCAAATAAAAACTAAAAAAATTCCCAAATTCAGACCCCAAAAAATCCCAAATTTCGACCCAAAAATCCCAAATAAAAACCCCAAAAAATCCAAAATTTTGACCCAAAAATCCCAAATAAAAACTAAAAAAAATCCCAAATTTCGACCCAAAAATCCCAAATAAAAACCCAAAAAAATCCCAAATTCAGACCCTAAAATTCCCAAATTTCGACCCAAAAATCCCAAATAAAAACCCCCAAAAAAGTCCAAAATAAAAACCATAAAAAATCCCAAACTCAGACCCAAAAATCCCAAATAAAAACCCCCAAAAAAACCCAAACAAAAACCCAAAAAATCCCAAATTCAGACCCCAAAAAATCCCAAATAAAAACCCCAAAAAAATCCCAAATTTCGACCCAAAAATCCCAAATAAAAACCCCAAAAAAATCCCAAATTTTGACCCAAAAATCCCAAATAAAAACCCCCAAAAATCCCAAATTTCGACCCAAAAAATCCCAAATTCCGGAGCCCAGGGATTTTTTTTTTCCATCTTTTATTTCGGGACCCTTCGGATCCTCCCCCCCAAAAAAAATTCCCGGGAATTTTCCTCCAATCCCAACCCTCCCCCACCCCAAATTCCCGGGATTTTTTCCCCCTCAAATCCCATTTTTTTGGGAGGGAACAGCAGGAAATAAATAAAGGAATTTTGGGGAATAATAATTCCCAAAAATCCTCATAAAGTGCCGGGTTTGGGTTTGATTTTTTTGGGGTTTTTTAATGGAATTCCTGGATTTTTTGGGGGAAAAAATCCCAAATCTTGGTGGGAAGGAAGGAGATTCAGCCCCTCCCCCATCCCCCAAAAAATGACCTCGATCCCAAAATTTGGGGGAGTCGGGAATTCCTTGGGAGGATTGGGAATAAGGCAACAATTCCATGAAAATTCCATGAAAATCCCACTAAAATCCCATGAAAATTCCATGAAAATTCCACGAAAATCCCATGAAAATTCCATGAAAATCCCATGAAAATCCCATGAAAATTCCATGAAAATCCCATGAAAATTCCATGAAAATCCCATGAAAATTCCATGAAAATTCCATGAAAATCCCATGAAAATTCCATGAAAATCCCATGAAAATCCCATGAAAATTCCATGAAAATCCCATGAAAATTCCATGAAAATTCCACGAAAATTCCATGAAAATTCCATGAAAATTCCATGAAAATTCCACAAAAATTCCATGAAAATTCCATGAAAATCCCATGAAAATTCCACGAAAATCCCATGAAAATTCCATGAAAATTCCACAAAAATTCCATGAAAATTCCATGAAAATTCCATGATTTTTGGATCCGGAATTTTGGGTGTTTCCACTTTTTTTTCCATGGAATTTTTTTGGGGTTTTTTTTTTTCTCTCCCCCCATTCCATGAAATTTTTGGGAATTTCAACCCGAATTTCATAAATTTTTTTGGGATTTCCTCCTCATTCCATGGAATTTTTTGGGATTTCCTCTCATTCCATGGGATTTCCTCTCATTCCATGGGATTTTTTTGGGAATTCCTCTCCTTCCATGGGATTTTTTGGGAATTCCTCTCATTCCATGGGATTTTTTGGGAATTCCTCTCATTCCATGGAATTTTTTTGGAATTTCCTCTCATTCCATGGGATTTTCTCTCATTCCATGGGATTTTTTTGGGATTCCCCCTCCTTCCATAGGATTTTTTTGGGAATTCCTCTCATTCCATGGGATTTTTTGGGAATCCCCCTCATTTCATGGAATTTTTTTGGAATTTCCTCTCATTCCATGGGATTTTCTCTCATTCCATGGGATTTTTTGGGAATCCCCCTCATTCCATGGAATTTTTTGGGAATTCCTCTCATTCCATGGGATTTTTTGGGATTTCCTCTCATTCCATGGGATTTTTTTGGGAATTCCTCTCATTCCATGGAATTTTTTGGGATTTCCTCTCATTCCATGGGATTTTTTTGGGAATTCCTCTCATTCCATGGGATTTTTTGGGATTCCCTCTCATTCCATGGGATTTTTTGGGAATTCCTCTCATTCCATGGGATTTTTTTGGGAATCCCTCTCATTCCATGGGATTTTTTGGGAATTTCCTCTCATTCCATGGGATTTTTTGGGAATTTCCTCTCATTCCATGGATTTTTTTGGGAATCCCCCTCATTCCATGGAATTTTTTGGGAATTCCTCTCATTCCATGGGATTTTTTGGGAATTCCCCGCTCCCTCAGCAGAGGCTGAAGACGGAAGGGGCCTGGCTCCGATACTTCTCCTGGAAATTCTTCAGGATCGGGATGAGGTTGGGAAAGGCCGGGCGGAACGAGGCCTCGGCCTCCCAGCAGTTCTTCATCAGCCGGTAAATCTGGGGGGAGAAGATGGAAAATCCCGGGAAATTCCCATCCCCATTCCTCAATATCCCATTCCCGTGATCCCATCCCCAGTTCCCATTCCCATTCCCATTATCCCATTCCCATTCCCATTCCCATTCCCATTATCCCATTCCCATTCCCATTCCCATTATCCCATTCCCATTCCCATTCCCCATTCCCAGTTCCCATTCCCATTCCCAGTTCCCAGTTCCCATTCCCATTATCCCATTCCCATTCCCATTCCCGTTATCCCATTCCCATTCCCATTATCCCATTCCCATTCCCATTCCCAGTTCCCAGTTCCCATTCCCCATCCCCAGTTCCCATTCCCAGTTCCCATCCCCCATTCCCAGTTCCCATTCCCCATTCCCAGTTCCCATTCCCAGTTCCCATTCCCCATTCCCAGTTCCCATTCCCAGTTCCCATCCCCAGTTCCCGTCCCCCATTCCCCATTCCCATTCCCATTCCCATTCCCAATTCCCATCCCCCATTCCCAGTTCCCATCCCCATTCCCAGTTCCCATTCCCAGTTCCCATTCCCATTCCCCATTCCCATTCCCATTCCCATTCCCATTATCCCATTATTTCCCATTCCCATTCCCATTCCCATTATCCCATTCCCATTCCCATTATCCCATTATTCCCATTCCCATTCCCATTCCCATCCCCATTATCCCATTCCCATTCCCATTATCCCATTATTCCCATTATTCCCATTATCCCATTATTTCTCATTCCCATTCCCATTATTTCCCATTCCCATTATTCCCATTCCCATTATCCCATTATCCCCATTATTTCCCATTCCCATTATTCCCATTACTCCATTATTCCCATTATCCCATTATCCCTTTATTCCCATTATCCCATTATTCCATTATCCCATTATTCCCATTATTTCCCATTCCCATTCCCATTATCCCATTCTTCCCCATTATTCCCATTATTCCCATTATTCCCGTTACTCCCATTTTTCCCCATTTTTCCCCATTTTTCCCCCTTTTTCCCCATTTTCCCCCATTTTTCCCCATTTTTCCCCATTTTTCCCCATTTTTCCCCTTTTTCCCACTTTTCCCACCTCACAGGGACAATCCCCCGGCACCGGGAGCCTCCTGCCCCTCTCCAGGAGCTCGATCAGCCTCAGCACCGTCATCTGGCCCTGCGTGGCTCCGATCATCTCCAGGAATTTCTGCCCAAAAATTCCCAAAATCCAGGGGAAATCTCGGATTTCAGCCCCAAAAATTCCCAAAATCCAGGGGGAAAATCCCGGATTTCAGCCCCAAAATCCCAAAATCCAGGGGAAATCTCGGATTTCAGCCCCAAACCCCCAAATCCAGGGGAAATCTCGGATTTCAGCCCCAAACCCCAAAATCCAGGGGAAATCTCGGATTTATCCCCAAAAATTCCCAAAATCCAGGGGGAAAATCCCGGATTTCAGCCCCAAACCCCAAAATCCAGGGGGAAAATCCCGGATTTCAGCATCAAATCAACGGGAAAATCCCAGATTTCAGCCCCAAACCCCCAAATCCAGGGGAAAATCTCGGATTTCAGCCCCAAATCAACGGGAAAATCCCGGATTTCAGCCCCAAAATCCACGGGGAAATCCCAGATTTCATCCCCAAACCCCAAAATCCGCGGGGAAATCTCAGATTTGGGGCCCAAATCCAGGGGAAAATCCCAGATTTATGGGATCCAAACCCCAAAATCTGTGGGAAAATCCCGGATTTGGGGCCCAAATCCACGGGAAAATCCCAGATTTCATCCCCAAATCCACGGGAAAATCCCAATTTCATCCCCAAACCCTCAAATCCACGGGAAAATCCCATATTTCACCCCCAAATCCAGGGGAAAATCCCGGATTTGGGGCCCAAATCCATGGGAAAATCCCAATTTCAGCCCCAAACCCTCAAATCCACGGGAAAATCCCAGATTTCATCCCCAAACCCCAAAATCCGTGGGGAAAATCCCAGATTTATGGGCTCCAAACCCCAAATCCTGGGGAAAATCCCAGATTTCAGCCCCAAACCCCAAAATCTGTGGGAAAATCCCGTATTTGGGGCCCAAATCCACGGGAAAATCCGGATTTCACCCCCAAATCCAGGGGAAAAATCCCAGATTTGGGGCCCAAATCCAGGGGAAAATCCCAGATTTGGGCTCCAAATCCACGGGAAAATCCCAATTTCACCCCCAAATCCACAGGAAAATCCCAGATTTGGGGCCCAAATCCACACGAAAATCCCAATTTCATCCCCAAATCCATGGGAAAATCCCAGATTTCACCCCAAATCCAGGGGAAAATCCTGGATTTATCGGCTCCAAACCTCAAAATCCAGGGGAAAATCCCGGATTTCATCCCCAAATCCGTGGGAAAATCCGGATTTCAGCCCCAAACCCATGGGAAAATCCCGGATTTCATCCCCAAATCCACGGGAAAATCCCAGATTTCAGCCCCAAACCCCAAAATCTGTGGGGAAAATCCCAGATTTATGGGCTCCAAACCCCAAAATCCATGGGAAAATCCGGATTTTACCCCCAAATCCATGGGAAAATCCCAGATTTGGGCCCCAAATCCACGGGAAAATCCCAGATTTGGGCCCCAAATCCGTGGGAAAATCCCAATTTCACCCCCAAATCTGTGGGAAAATCCCAATTTCACCCCCAAATCCATGGGAAAATCCCAATTTCATCCCAAAATCCACAGGAAAATCCCAGATTTATGGGCTCCAAACCCCAAAATCTGTGGGAAAATCCCAATTTCACCCCCAAATCCGTGGGAAAATCCCGGATTTCATCCCCAAATCCACGGGAAAATCCCAGATTTGGGGCCCAAACCCATGGGAAAAATCCCAGATTTGGGGCCCAAATCCACGGGAAAATCCCGGATTTCAGCCCCAAATCCACGGGAAAATTCCGGATTTATGGGCTCCAAACCCCCAAATCCATGGGAAAATCCCAGATTTGGGCCCCAAATCCATGGGAAAATCCGGATTTCACCCCCAAACCCCGGGATCTGGGCGTCACTCACGGCCGGGGGGCTGGAGCCGGGCTCGCAGCGCGTCAGGAGCTCGTAGAGCGTCACCCCGAAGGACCAAACGTCGGAGGCGTAGTAAAATTTACATTCCTTGAGGCATTCCGGGGCGTACCTGGGGCCGTTTGGGATGGGGGAATTGGGGATTTGGGATTTGGGGGAGGTGTGGTGGGGAATGGTGAGGGGTGGGAATGGGAAATGGGGATGTAAAATAAGTAAAAATAGCCAAAAAAAATGAAATAGGGGTAGAAAAATAACTCAGAGACCCCAAAAATCCCAAAAAATCCAAATAGAATCAAAAATAAACCAAATGGAGACGTCAAAAAACACCAAAATCCCAGGGATTTCCCCCAAATTCCCAGAAATTCCCCCAAAATCCCAGGGATTTCCCCCAAATTCCCTGAAATTCCCCCAAAATCCCAGGGATTTCCCCCAAATTCCCAAAAATCCCCCCAAATCCCAAACCTAAAACCCCAGAAATTCCCCCAAATTCCCTGAAACTCCCCAAAAATCCCAGAATTTCCCCCAAATTCCCAGAAATTCCCCCAAATTCCCAGAAATCCCCCCAAAATCCCAGGATTTTCCCCAAAATCCCAGGAATTCCCCTAAATCCCAACCCTAAAACCCCAGAAACCCCCCCAAATTCCCAGAAATTCCCCCAAA